TTAAACACATTTCGAATTAAACCATGACTTTTGGAAAAACTTTTCGGTTGTGCAACTTGAAGAATATGATGGTTCGATAGAACCAGCCTCATTTATCATACAACAGCATGGTTTTACTGTTTTAAAGCTAATTGAGCCGTTAAAATTTCGAAAATTTTTTGTTGTATCGTCAGCATTTTAATATTTTGAAAGTACGATGTTTCTAACGTCTTTACTTTTCATTATCTAAAAGTAAAAGCGCACTGAAATGTCGTGTGAGAAAATGAATTGAACAGTTTTGTAGAGAATTGAAAGACGAATCTTTTTTAAAAAGTTAGGTCAAATAAATGAAAAATGGTGACGCTATTGCAAAAATATCGAAAGAGTCATTCTTTATGGGCCACCCGTTAGTTATTGAAAATAAACAATTTTTACATAGAAATGTTTCCATGTATATTAAAATAAAATAGAACGATTTTCGGGAACGTCAGTTCTTAACACCGTTCCCATTCCCATGTTCCCATTCCCGAAGTTCAAATGGGAATTCCCATTCCCATTTTCAAGGGAATGGGAACGGAAAAAATTCGGGAAAAAACAGTTCCCGCAGGACACTAGGATTTTGTCAATTTTGAAAACAAAAAATTGCAACTGTAAAATGCGCAGTTTTATGTAAATTGTAGAGCTTTCATGCTGCATCGGATGGTATGTTTTGCTTTTTAAATAGAATATATTTAGGGGTCGAAATATGAAATGCAAAATTCTGCCATCTATTCCGATTCATTAGTTAGCAAATCGCATGCATCTAGCGTAAAAGAAATGATGAACAACAGCAAAGGATAAGACTTGTAAGTTTGAAATTTTGCCCATCATCCTAAATACGTCTAAGCATTATAACAGAATAGTTGAACCGAAACTAAGGCTTTTAGAAGAAGCGGGAGAAAAACCTTTTGGAGTGCCCCATGTAACTCCAGGAACCCACGGAACCCAATGAACTCTTGAAGATGTGGCGTCTCTCTCTTTGAGGGCAAACTCGATAAGATACAATGAGCATATCTGTCATTGTGGGTGTCATGAAACATAGAGAGGCTCATATTCTGAAAGAGAGAAAGGTGCGTGTTTGTGTTTCGTGGAACTATTATCGGAATTTAAAAAAAAGGCCATCGGGCAAAATGCTTATAACTTTTGAACGAAGATAGCTAGAGCCCTGAGGTTTTCACCATTCAAAAGGGAAGATAAGGGGGCACCTTTTTCTCCAATATTGTATAGGACGAAATCATTTAAAAATCAGTCATTTCTACAAAACATAGGAAAAATGTATAAAAAAAACGGTCAGCCATACAGTTGAAATTTAGACGAAAAGTAAGAAAATATGCTTAAAAATTAAAAGAACTCTATAGGTTCCGTGCAATTCAATAGACAAGTTTATTTGTTCAACATTAGGAGGTGGAAAGATAATCATTCGAATTATATCTTGAACTATACATCTGAAGTTACTCTATCTAGACCAGATCTCAAAACCAAAATTTCATTGGAATGACAGATCGTTTTCATACATTTTTTCGATGTTTTGTAGAAATGACTGATTTTTAAATGATTTCGTCCTATACAATATTG